TTTTTATTTAAATGGAAGACTTACTTGTGTTTTTTTTTTTTTTATTTAAATGGAAGACTCACTCGTGTTCGCAAAATGGTGTATTATGCGTAATACGTACACAGGTATGTACACAGTCGTACTTTTAGAAAAGAAGCGATACCTTTTTTCAAGCGGCAGGTATTAAAAGGGTTTAACCTCTTGCGCTGGTAACTGGTTGACGGACCATAACGAGTGACCAAACCGTATACAGTAAATAATCGTCTTCTTTTTGAATTCATTGGTATATCACCGGATAGAAATTATTTTTTACTAAGAAGTAAATTATTTCTACTAAGAAGTAATAAATTTATTATTTGTTTCGCCTGGATTATATTTAAATGTACTTAAAACTGAGAGAAAACATTGCGATTTTTGGTTAAAAGAGGTTAACCACTTGCGCTGGCAACTGATTGCGGACCATAACGAGTGACCAAACCGTACACAATAACTCGTCGCTTTCTTTTAACCGTATACAATAACTCGTCGGTATGATATCACTGGATAGAAATTACTGACAATAATTAATGAATTTATTATCTGTTTTGCCTGGGTTATACCTAAATGTACTTAAAACTGAGAAAATATTGCAATCTTCTGCCAAATATTCTCAACGTGCGTGGCACGTCACTCCAGCGCAGGAGGTTAATTTTAGTTGATATTACAGACAGTAATTAAGACTGTAACATGGTATGATATCGTTAAAACGAAATGAAATTTCGAGACGGTGAAGAGAAGAAGGGGATGATGCCGGATGTAATATTTTAGCATCGGATTTTCGTTAGTTTCCGAGATATTAATAAAAAAAAAGAAAGAGTACCATACATTGAATTATGCCTGTATAGACGTTACTGATGCAACTGTCTTCGCTGTTTCCTCAGTGTCTATAGGATATTCCGACATCGAGGATGCAATATACCGTGACTCAACCGTCGTAATGATTATTCCATTGGGATTGGGTCGAGTTATTTGTTTTAATCCGGCCATCAATTACCTGCGAAATGTCGTTGTCGGTGGGATGTCGTCGATATCGGTTTTTAAGTGGGACACCCTATAGATAGTTGAGAACAGTATCGCTATTACGTCGTCATCGTCGGATACTCGACAGTTGACGACGAGGACTACCACAGGAAAGAAACGATTGTATACGACGCTGACTAATAGAGCGGCTGTACGTATCAGTAACGTCTGTATACATAATATATAGCTCAATGTTCTTTATTAATATCTCAGAAACTAATAAAGACTTGAAAATGTTATATTTGGAGTCTTCTCCCCTCTCCCCTCCTCTCTCTCTCTCTCTCTCACGTCCATTCCCCTGAAAGTTTGTCTTCATTGTGACGATTGAAT